TCTTTGGTTGAAAATGGTCAATTTCTTTCATGAAGATGAGGTCCCTCAAGAAAACAAAATTATTGACTAAGAAACAATTTCAACTAAAATTATTAATTGTGCATTTCAATAAGATCAATCGTTATTTTTCTTTTGTAGTTTCTTCTAAGTTAAATAAGTCTCCATGAACAGGTAAGAAAATCACTGTTCAGGCTAACTATAACTGTAGATGGAATTTTGTTTTTTTAAAAAAAGCCTTATAAAAGTGTGAAACCAAGCTGGAGAGATGGCTCAGCAGTTAAGAGCACTGGCTGCTCTTGCAGAAGACTTGGGTTCATATCCTAGCACCCACATGGCGGCTAACAACAATGGAGTAACTGGAGTTCCAGGGGATCCAACATGTCTTCTGTCCTCTTCAGGCATTGCAGGACATGGATGCACTTATATACATGCAGGAAATGCACTCATACAAATAAATAAAAACAAATAAAATAAAAATGTGAAATGATTCTTTACTACCAGTAACATGGAACAGATAGTAGCCTCCTTTCTCCTCTCCTAAACACTCACCTCCACAACTCGACTTTTAATTTCTATTTCATTCCCTTCTGTTTACTTTTAAAAACAAGTATGTATGGATATTGCAGTGGTTTGAAAGAGAATATCCCCTATAGGCTTCAAGTATTTGGAACTTTGTCCCTAGTTGGTAGTGCTGTTTTGGGAGGTTTTAGGAGATGCAGCCTTGCTAGAGGAAGCATGTCACTGGGGGCTTTGAGACTTCTTAAACCTTGCCAGATTTCCGGTCACTCTCCTTCCTGTGCCTGCTTGAAGATGTGACTGCTCAGCTTTCTGCTCCGGCCACCTCTGCTACCATGCCTCACTTGCCATTATGGACTCTAACCTCTGCACTGTAAGCCAAATAAACTCTTCCTTCTATAAGTTGCCTTGGTCATGGTGTTTTATCACAGCAACAGAAAAGTAACTAACACAGACACTGCTATACTTTGAATGTGAAATACCAACAATGGGCTTATGTGGAGCTGTGTTCGGCAGGGTGTGGAATCTTTGGGATGTAGGGCTTAGCTGGGCATTAGGGACAGACCTTGAGAGTTCTAACTTGACTGCTTCCAGCCTGAGCTTTCTACTTCCTTTTGTAGCCCAGATGTGACCAGATGCCTCATACTCCAGCTGCCATCAATAAGATTCTCTTCCATGGCCATGGCTTCCCTACCATGATGGGCTAATATTCCCTGAAACCAGGAGTCAAAAAAAATCAATCCTTCCTTCTTAAGTGCTTCTTCAGATATTTGGTCACAGAGATAAGAAAAGGAACAAACACATATACTTTTTTAAAAATTATTTTTGATTTTCTGTGTATGAGTGTTATGCCCATATGTGTGTAAGTGCACCCACCCCTGGGACTGGAATTATGGACAATTGTTAGCCACCATGTGGGTGTTAGGATCTGAATCCAGGACTTCTGCAAGAATAGCCAGTGCTCTTAACTACTGAGCCATTTCTCCAACCCACATTTATATTTTTAAATATAACTGTATTGATGTATATTTAGTCCACATACAATATTTTACTGTACCTGTTTTTATAGTTGGGAAAAATAACAATAAAATGGGTTAACCCTCTGCATTTTCCCATGCCCCAAAATATCATTATAAAGGAATTTTAAATGGGAAATTCCACAGGGAAAGCTGGGAGAACAGAAAGAAATCTAAGTGAGGATTTCCCATGCAGATTAGTAATACTGTGACCCAAATATATCCCTCCCCAGGCTTACTATGTGCTCTGTTGAGGACCTAACAGTGAAGAAGGTAGCACTAAGTTGCTTTCTGTTCTCCAGAAAGATTTTCAAATGTGCCATTTTAAGTTATTCAAAGAGACAACTGCAAATTTGACAAATTAATTTTCAAATTAGCATTTTAATATAGTTATAACCCTTATTCTAACCATGCATCATGAATTAAAACAGCATGCTCTTTTGAACTTTTGGTTGAATATGCAACTTTTTTGAGATTTTCCGATCTACCTAAAGCTGTTAGCACATTTAGCAATTTAATAAAATGTTATGAAAATCTATGACAGAAATATACTTCTTGGGCATTAAAACATTTGTTAACTATTTAACAGGATGATTTAGGACAGTATTGATTCAACAAAAGTCATAGCATTTTTTCCCATTTAAATGCTATAAAATTATAGCCAAACTAATAGATTAGCATTAGAAAAGGAGGAGGAGGAGGAAGAGGAGGAAGAAGAGGGGTGAGAGGAAGAAGAAGAGGAGGAGGAGATTTGCTAAAAATTTCACTACAAAATTTAGTGTTTACAGGCTTACTTACGGTAACTTTTAAAAATTGAGACGTTCATTTCTGGCCTGACCTCTCTTTTTCTGTGCTGATAGTATTCCTACAAACATTGAGAACATTCATAAAACTTGCTGGACTTTCTACAAGAAATGTGGCAAAAAACCTTAGGAAGTGACACAGAACAGGGGCAAAGACACTCTGTATGCCCAGGGAAGGCAGCGCTAAGACAGGAAGCAAGTGGCAGCTATGAGTGGGCAGACGGAGCCTATCTTCCTCAAAAAGGCTCCAACTATGAAGAAGATTGTGTTGAGAGTTGAGGGTGTTGAGCCCAACTGCAGATCTAAGATGATGGGAGCTGTTAAGAGACGCAGCATTGTGAACATAAGAAGAGAAAGGGCCATTTAATCCAGGTCTAAGCTGATTTTTTGTGAAGACAATAAAATCATGACGTTATATTCGCTACCCCATAAAAAAGAAATTCTGATTTCATTTCTTATAAAAACTGTATCTAGCGTCCCTCTGCCAATAATATAACAGAAAATGGCTGAATCTGAATCATAGTTCACTTTTTATTCCTTAATGTTAGGTGAGTGGGTAAATACAGGTACAAAAATGTAAAAGCATTTGTTACATACTAATATGAAGAAAGCAAAATGATGTGTAGAAAGCTTTTATTATTGATCACATTTAAATGAATATATTCACATTAAATAAAAAAAACCACATATAAGCCAAAACATAGTCACATGCACAGTCACCTGCAAAGTCCTCGCCTTCAAATGATCTTTAACTTCATTTCACTGCCATAAACTGTAAGAAAACTGAGGTGAAAATAAATGTTTTGACTGTCACATTAATTCAACCAAATTCACTAATATTGTCTTTTTCTTTGCCAATCTTAAACCAAATGCAGCAAGTTTAAAACTAGATTATTGAGGATTAAATGAACTTCATTGCTGGAAAGGAGAATAATAAAGACTATGAAGAAAAGTATGAAGAGGTGAAAAGGAATGTAAGTCATCAAAGAGATGAGGTTAAGTTTTTGTATCTGCTGTACCCCACTGTTTGGGGTTCAGTGTGTTCCCTGACAAACTTGTCTTCTCATGGCTCTGGCCATAGCCAACTTCTCTGAGATTTCCCAACTTCGTAAAAGCTATTAACATACCTAACAATTTAATTAAATGTTATAAAAATGTATAATATAAATTATACTTCTTTGGTATTAGAACTTTTTTAACTGGACAAGAAATAAAAACCAATATCAAAGGCAAAGCTCTGCTAACTTTTCCATAGGATGATTTTTCTTTTATTACATTTATTGTGTGTGTGTGTGTGTGTGTGTGTGTGTGTGTGTGTGTGTGCGCACTATGGTGTTTATGTGGTGGTCAGAGGATAACTTTTGAGAGTTGGTTTCCTCTTTCCACCAAGCAGGAACTCAGGTCATTAGACTAGGTGGCAAATACCTCTACCTACTGAGCCATTTTGCCATCTCAAGATGATTTTTCAAGTCTCTTGTTGCAAACTGAAATCACTGGTGTAGTCAGTCAAACTAGCTGGTTTTTAGGCCCTTAGTGGCATGTAAGTGCAGTGGAAGAGGCCTGCTGGTGAGAGTTCATATTGGGGCAGACTAACCCTTGAGTTTACCTGTGTCTTTAGACCTCTTCTAATTACAGATCAGTGCTAGAATATCCAAATCAGACAGGACTTCCCTCTGCTTCATATTGGTCAGGTAGGTGAACAACTGACAGGAGAAGAAAACCCCAACACATCCATGGCTGAGTGTCATGCATATTCAATCAAGGTCCCAGTAGGGGCTGAAAGCCCGCTTTCCAGGGAGGCTAATCTGAGCCTGCTTAAGGGCTCAGAACCTGAAAAAGAATGGGGTAGGTATGGTGTGATCGGTGGGGAGGAACTCGGACACCCAGTGACACAGACCCCTGTTCATATTGTCATGTGTACTAATGCTTTCCACAATTTGGAAACACAGAAGTCATATCTTAGTATTTATCCTCTTGAAAGGTGATCATACCTATTTCATGAAGAAATCCATGTCTAATATCCACACAAATTTTCTAATTGGAGAAAGTAACTAATAAAAGAAGTTAGTATAACAGACTTCACACACACACACACACACACACACACACACACACGCTAATATAATTAATATGAGTACATGAAATTGGGTTTTTTAAGAGAGAGAGAGAGAAAGAGAGAGAGAGAGAGCGCTAAGCTGAATAAACGATCTCACTTCTTTCAAATGAAATTGTTTCCTAGGCCAAAGCACATAATGGCTTTCACAAAAATGGAATACTATTATATTATAAACACATTTTATTTTTTAATGATAGAATGAACTCATATCAACTTTTAAGTTTGTAAGAGATATGCTACAAAAATGTGAAAATGCATGCATTGTCTGGATAAATACAATTGTTTGCTGTTGTATGTCCTTTTGTCTAATAGTTCCTCTTACACTATGCAGCAGCGACTCAAAGATTAAACAAGCTATACATGTTTACATAGGACTGATTACTCCATTCCACGTTTATTTAGACAGATAAATCTGGACATTCAATTACAGGTTCCAATGTAAACCTTCAGAAATAATGTTTGTTATAGCTGATGTAATAAATACAGAATTATTTCACAGTATTTTAAAACAACAGCCACCACTTCTCCCAGAGCTCACCAGAAGAGAGCCTAAGACTGTGAGTCTGTTGTAGCGTGGCTTTGATTTGCTTTTTCTCCAGAGACAGAGTGCTTCAAAAACTGACCAGTAGCACCGATGTATAATCTGGATCTCATGGGCCATTTCTGAAAAAGAATATTTAAATAAGAATCAGAAAGTTGGTTAGGAAATTATATTGTTGAGATTTCAGAATCTATGACATCTACCACATTGGAATATGATATTTAAAATTCCAAAGACATTAATGTCAATGAAGTGTTATGTAGCTGGTAACAACTGTTATTATGAAGTCTAATGGACAACATGAAAAATGTTTAATAATGGTAGTGATAAAAGTGAAGGCTTTGCTGGGCATGGTGGTGCACGTCTTTCATCCCAGCACTCAGGAGGTAGAGATGGGAGGATCTCTGTGAGCTCAAGGCCAGCCTAGTCTACACTATGAGTTCCAGGCCAGTCAGGGAACCTGTCTCAAAAAAACAGCAACAAAAATTATTTTAATTGAAGGCTTTAATTAGCACTGTAAAAATAGTATGTGGGGCTGGAGAGATGGCTCAGTGGTTAAGAACACTGGCTGTTCTTGCAGAAGACCTTGGTTCGAATCCCAGCACCCACATGGCAACTAACAGTTGTCTGTAACTCCAGTTCCAGGGGATCCGACAGCCTTTTCTGACCTCTGTAGGCATTACATGATATGGGTGCACTTACCTATGCTTTTCTGTCCTCCATGGGCACTGTGCGACACGGGTGCACTTACCTACATGCAGGCAATACACACATACACATAAAAATAAATTTTAAAAAAATTTAAAAAATATGTGTAATATGTGTGTGTGGGGGCACGAATGGCAAGAAGTCATAGAGAATGAACATAGCTGAAAGACAGAAGACCACCCACACTATTTCAATGCCAAGCTAAACCCAAAGCAAAGTGAAATTGAAAACATTAGTTCTCATTATATATGTTATACATAATATATTACATATATTTTATATATAATGAAACTGGGATGATACAGAGAGGATTAACACATCTCCCGAGCAAGGATAACAGACAAATTTAGGAAGCATCCCATATTTCTAAGTTCTGCTGCTCTATGGAACAGTGGGTGAGTATAGATGATAGCTACTTTACACTTTTCTAAAAGCCTGAAGAAAATATTGTGGATATGTGCAACACAAATGGCAGATGTTTGGAGAGACAGATTTGAGCATCAGAGCTTACACTGATTTGAGCATCATATAAATGTACACATATATTAAAATATAACATTGTACTTTGCTGGGCATGGTGGCACATGCCTTTGATCTCAGTACTCAGGAAGCAGAGGAAGGTGAATCTCTGTGAGTTGGAGGCCAACCTAGCCTACATAGCAAGTTCCAGGACAGCTGAGGCTACAGAGAAACCCTGTTTCTAACTGACTGACTGACTGACTGACTGACTAGCTAACTAACAAGAAAACAAAAAATCCCAAATAACATTATACCTCATAAATATATACAACGTCCACATGTGAAATAAAAATGAAGAAATAATAAAAATAAAAAATAAGCATGTAATACTATCAGGGAAGTTACTTTTCTGTGGCAGCCTACAAAAGTCCTATTTTAATGCCTCCAGATGTGATTGGTGAATATAGTCCTGAACTCTACTCTCTCTACTAAGATATATTTACTTTAATGTCTCTTTAACACACACACACCATATAATATGTATAACATATGCATATATATGTGATTTTTTAGGGTTAGTATACAAAGTATTGAGTTTCACTGTGGCTTTTTCATACATCATGTGTTATTATACTTTGTTCTCAATCCTACGGTATATTTAAAACTACGTAGTTTCATTTAAATGATAAAAATCTAGCAATTAACAAGAACTGAGCCTGAAATTAAAGACCTTAAAAAAGGTCTATTCTAATTAAACAACCGCCCCCCCCAAAACAACAACAACAGCAGCAGCAGCAACAACAAAATCCTGTCTTTTTTTAAATTCTTGCTTATCTGTATTATGAAAAATGATTCTTGGGGAGTTTGGCAATTAATAAAGTCATCTGGATTTTTCTCCCAAAGTTAAAGGTCTGAAAGACACCCTGTTTTGAATGTCCCTTCAGGCCACTGGTGCTGACTGAAACTGTTCATTCCCAACAAGATAAAAATGGGGTTGGTTAGGCCCCACTGCATGAGTTGGATCTCTTAAACCTTTCTTCCAGTTTAAAGACACCATGTCTGTGCACCGTGGATGGAATCCAGGGCCTTGCAAATGCTAACTATGAGCTCTACCACTGAATGTATCTCCCTTCCTCATTTGAGATACTCTAAAGTTCCCAACAATTCAAATACACTCATAATATCTGTAAAAGACTAATGATTCAAAAATCACAGAAT